TATATATATATATATATATAATTCACATTAAATTATTTAAGCATTAAAGATTCAGCTTTGATCATTTAATTTCTAGTTCATATTGATTGTGTTTTCACATGTACGGTCTAAAATAAGATTCTTATTGTCAATATGATGTGTATTATCTATATCATGTAAATGATGATAGAGCTTTTTTGAACACTTCTGTACAGAGGCAGTAAATTTTCTTGGTCGCGGACACGCGCCTATTACACCGATAAGATGATTCAGGATTTTCACAGAAAAAGCGTACACATTTCAGAAAGTGTATCGGATCATTCGAAAGGCATTTGTTCATTTTTTTTCTTATACAATCGTTATAAACTAAAAAAACGATACAAAATCAATTTATGATCAAAATATCGATGGAATCTTTCATTCAAAATTAAATTAAAAAATTACAGTTTATTAAAGTTAAAGTTTAAAAAGCCCGATAACATGATTATTCAAATAATTCTATGTTCCATTGATAAAAAATTAATACTACAAAATAAAGTTAATGAAAGCTAACATTATAATAAAAAGCAACTCAATTCAAGGTCGAATTTGATCTCTTTCTATTTTCTAGATGACTGTCTTGCTTGACACTTTCGCGCACTTTAAATAGATGATCAAAATTGATCATCTATTTAATAATACATTACACTTTCTGCTTTGAAATGTAAAATTGCGATTTGAATATCAAATAGTAGTTGAAACTTCAAAAACATATAAAAGCGAAATATATAAAATTCACAAAGATTATTGAAGATTCTATCCGATAATCGAAAATATCAATATTTATCTCGTATATATTAATCGATTAATATTATACGAGTATAATAATATTTGCTCGTTTTAAAGTATTCTCTTCGTTTTTTTGTGAAAATTCTGTACCTCCACGTACGGCACTACACAGAGAATATAAATATACAATATAAAAAGGCTTGTGTGTACGTGTGGTATGTGTATATGTGTGGAAGATATCATCAATCGAGGAGCTCATCTCTAGAACTCTTGTCTTGGAGTCTTCTTCGAAGAAAAAGAAGCTACAACGAGTTTTGTGATGCGTAATCTTCGAATCCAAGATATTCTGAAAAATGAGCTCTTTGATTTTGTTCTCGGCGCGATAACACGGTATTGTGAAAAGAAGTTACGATGGCAGTCTTAGCTTCATCGCATATCGTATTTTATCATATATCGTATTTTCTCTCGTTTTTGACGATCAGTCGGATAACGGCGTTAACATTACTCGCTAAAATAAAAACGACGCGAACGAAGAGTTACTTATTACGCGCAGTTTATATACTCTTACACGCTAAATAAAAAAATACTTCAAAAAAGGAGAAAAGGAACGTTCGTTGTACACGATACTTGCAACATGTGATATGAACAATTCCTCGCTGCTTAACAATAAACGCTTCCTGGAATGTAATCGCGGCAGTGATGAGGCGGCTATTCAGTCAGTGCATTTCGCTAAAAATCACAGCAGGTCGAACAAAAACGGCGAATTATCTTTCTAACAAAGCAGTCAACAAACCGAAGGTCGCGAGTTACTAAATAAGATACAATTAAATTAGCTCTTTCTGCAGGATATTCTCTTGTATATATGACGCGATAAATTCTCACTCCTTTATATCTTTTCGCGAAGTATATTTAGACAGTAAATAATAGCTTGTTCAAACAAGATTACGCGTGACGCAAACGCTATAAGTAATTTAAAATTATGTCGCGAATCCGCAGTAAGTCTGTCGGTAGAGACTATCGCAATGCGCTTTTCTTCTTACTTAATTTACAACAATTCTGTAGTGTACATTCGCTTAACATTCCTCATAATTCTCTTCTCGTTAATTTCAGCACATTAAATATAGATATTTATGCCTTTCTCTCTCCTTTTTTTGGTACAGCAAACAATCTAACAACCTAACACATGTCTAACAATCAAAGAGCCTCTAAATATAATTTGCTAAATGCGCTTTTATAGTCACACCGCTTTTATACTATTTGTACAGACTCGACAGTGCTTTTACTAACAAAAAAGTTGCCTGAATTCGAATGCGGTAATTAGGACCGCCATATTTCTGCGTTATTTCAAAATTATAAGACAATGTTAGAAAGTAATGAGAGAAAACCATTCATAAAACAGAAATCAATAATAGTCTAATAATAAATATAATATGATTATTCGCAAACGCTTTCAAAAATCTTTCTAATAAATATTATATATTTTGATTTTTATAAATTAAAAAGGAACAATAATACTCGAAAACTGGAAAAATAGCAGTCCTAATTGGGAATAATCTGAAGGGAATAATTAAATAAAAATAAACGTGACAATCTCCTCGAGCTAATGCGATAT